TGGTGATAACTGGTCAATCATTGGGACTAGGCATGTGAAATTTGGGATTATGATAAATCACAAACATACCTATATCATACATACACGTATTATACATAGGTCACCGAGAAAGTAATGCAACACATTTCTTTTCTCATTCACAATTTATTTTATTAGAACTTCAAATATGTCACCTGAATCTTTGGCTACCTAAACCTCTTTCTTTAACATAGTCGCCACCAAGATGCGAGAGCCTGTATGCCTTCATGGCACCACTCTGCAGGCCTCTGTTGCAGCCAGCTGTTCACTTTAGAAAATGTCTTCCTGGCTACTAGCACCACCACTGTACAGATCCAATAGGCTACGATGTAGGAATGTAGAGACATATGGCTCCAGCAGAATGAACTCTTTAATTTTAGCAGCTTCAATATATCCAATAAATGTAATGTTTCCGTCATTAACATCTCTGTACACTGTGCCATGAAATCATATGGGAGAGGGGTGTTATACTTCCACCCAGTTGTAACCTCAGTCTCTTAAATAAAGCACCCTGGCCACAATTCCAACGATGAAAGAACCCATGGTACCCAATGGATAGGAGGCTGAGTTAGCCCCATAGCTGCTTGCTTGCACACACATAATACACACACAGATGGCAAGTAAAGTAAAAGTAAAGTAAAGGTATCCCTGTAACAGGCTGTGGAGGCCGATAGGGTTGTGAGATATTGAGGTTCCCACATTTTCTAGACAATTGGCTCATAGATGGCGGTAAAGTTGTCAGCCTTATATGCCGGCCACCCTTTACCCCCAAGAATATTCCTGGTACTCATTTCTGTTAGAGGCTGAGTCAACCCCAGGGCCATAGTGCGGCTGGAAGGATTAGGTAAATTGAAAAAATCCAATTGGGATTCAATCCTGCGACCTTCCGGGTTGTAGCATAGTGTCTCAACCAACTACGCTACTGTGTGCCCCCTCACACACAGACAAATGGCAGCAAACAAAATACACAATGTTAAAACCGCATCATACAATTTACAAAAATCTCATTTGTGACCAAGGCAGAGATGTCAATATCAAACTAGGACAATCATGGAGTTGAGCCCTTCTTGAGAAGCCACCAGTTGTGCAGCTATTCAAGAACGATAGTGCGTACAGTGAACTTAAAGAAGTATGTTGCATGTAAAGTTTCAGATTGTGGTCTTCTAGGTTGTGACAGTGTGCAAGTTGAGGAGTAAGGAGCTCTATCCAGGCCAGTGGGAATGAGAAGTAGGAAACTGACCCTAATAAGGGACACACTTAAGTTTTCCCACACAGGTGGGAAATGGAAATATATCAACAGCTCTCGCCAGAGACATGTTTTCAAAAGGAAAAGTGTAATTGTGAGAAAAGATGATCCTCTTTAGGACTCCCTAAAAATTTCCTCACCTCACACTTCAATGGTAAAAATGGAGGCGTTATGTTCTTCTGAAACATCAGTATCAGCCCTGAGACTACGCAGTGGCACAATCTAGATGACCACAATCAGAATCAATCACTGCCTCAGTAATCCAAAAATCTGTATCACTGCCTTTACTTGCACCACCACCACTAATACAATCATCACCATCATCATAAGTGTACCATATCCAGTCAGTTACAGGTCTTACAAAGCAGAATGTTTTCATATTTATAAAGGTTTTCCCCTTGGTTGCCACACTTTATGATCTGATGAAGGTTAAGAAGAGAAAGATGACAGGGACCATGGATGACAGTAGCATTTGTTGTCAGTACTGAGAGAACTATTTCAAGACACCATAAACCAATAGGATGCAATGTGCAAAATTCAGAAAATGGTTGGATGAAATCAGTAATTTGTATGGATTGTTTTGGAACTCAAGGAAACGTAATGTAAAGCTGTCCCTGTGCTTAACTAAGCACTACGCCATGAAAGTGTATCGTCAGCTTCACTCCCAGGAAAGAACTGGTACCCATTGTATAGGTTAGGTAGACCCCAGAGCCAGTCTGGACAACATGGAGAAAATTCTTGATCCTACTGGGACTCGAAGGTCCAGCCCGTAACCAGTCTCTATACAGACTGTTCTATCCTGGACTGTATGGACTGTTTTGCAACTCAAGTGGAAGGTAAAAAGGTAAAGCTATCCCTGTAACAGGCTGTGGAGGCCCACAGAGCTGTGAGATTTTGAGGCTCCCACATTTTCTAGACATCGGCTCACAGATGGTTGTGAGGTTGTCTTATGCACTGGCTGCCCTTCACTCCTGGTACTCATTTGTATTACAGGCTGAGTTGACCCCAGGGCCATAATGTGGATGGGAGGATTAGGGAAATTTAAAAATCCAACGACCTCATCAGGAATCGAACCCGTGACTTTCTGCCTTGTAGCATAGTGCCTCAACCAACTATGTTACCACATGCCCCCCAAGTGGAAGGGATAATAAGGGAAAAGAAAATGAAACCAACAAACAGGCTGTTGCAGCATCTCTCCCACATTTTAAGGAGAGCTGGCCGAAGCATAATTCTCTATTTTTTTAACTTTGCTCATAAATCACATTCCTATGACTTTGAAAACTTATAGATTTTATGCTTAAGTTAAAAGTTATTCAACCAACAAATAATTTTTTTCTTCAAATACATCCATTTCCAGCATTTACTGTTTAAATTGTGACATTTCTATGCCATTTACCTTAATGCTTAATGACCCAAAGACTCTCACTTTCATCAAATGGAATCCCATTATTTGTAATGTATGTAATTTGGAATGTGTTCACCATACTATTAAATACAAATAAGGACTAAACCCTTGAATACTTACAGGAACTGGAAACTACCAAGACGCCGACAAGCAACTATACCATTAATGACAAAGTGCACCCGATACAGTAAAAAGATTTTCGTACTGTATGCATAAAATGCATATATGAACATTTCTTTCACACAGTGGATTAGAAAGCGTTCATAAAAAAATAAAATTAATTGGTTAAATGTTATATACTTAAGTACTTTTAATTTCTTTAAATACTTATGCAGGAATCTAGATCTACCACTTTTATTACATATTCCATCCTTGTCTTTGTGATGTAAGCCAAATGTTAGTTTTTGATTAGTCTCTTTTTTACAGTCCATGGAACTCCTTCCCATAACTTTCCTTTGTAACAATTATTATTAATACAAGATCAACAGGAAAAAACTCCTCATTTAATCTGAGACATTCATGGGGTTATATAATATTTAGGAACTCAGAGGAAGTTTTTTGCCCCTTGGTTGCTGCACATATGCACAGAAGTCTCTCAAAGGAAATAAAACCATGTACCAACACAGTCTACACCACGGAATCTATTCAGGAGAAAGTCCAAAGCATTATTTGATTTGCCAAGTTCAAGATAATTGTAACCATTCATTGCAATGTTCAATGTAGAAACAAAAGAAAATCTCCAAATTCTAAAGTGATTTGTCAGTGGTTTTCTCAACATGAAGCGTGTTAACGAAAAACCACCAGGAAGAACCAGACTTCAGAAGAGGATGCTGAATGCATAAGTGTCAATATATGGGGGGGTCTAAAGAAATCTATTGCTCATTGCAGTTTGCAAATTGGTATACCAAAACCATACTAAAAATAGTTACTATAGGATTCTGACGATGGTGTATAACACAGAGAGATGTTGGGTTTTCGGACTTTATCCATCGTCCTGGTTTTTAAGATAACTAAGAAAAAACAGGACGTTTCGGAAACTGGATCTGTTTCCATCCTCAGGTGAGGTAAAACACCTATTCTGTTGGGTCCCTTAGAAAGAGCTAGCCTCAATCATTGGAGGTCCAGTGAGTTAATCAATACTGAAGGTTGCATGCCAACTGTGCTGGCCATCCACCAGGACCAAACAGATCCATCCTCTGGCTTCACCCATCTTAGAAGTAAATTTTCTTTACTCTTGCCATGCAGGGAGAAGCCAGAATAGGTAACAGACCTGGAATAGGTAACTGGAGGCACAAGAAAGGGTAAAAACTTAAACAAAATATTCCTTTGTCCCAGTCAATTTCTTCTTTCACTATACACTAATGTACTGGGGGACCTTAATATTAACTATTCCTGAATGGAAAGCGATAATATTTTTCAAAGATTCTGGATGTAGTAATTAACCAAAATAAAATACAAAAATTTAAACATTTTCAATGGGCAGAATAATTGTAGCCTTTCCTGTTCTTTTTTTTTTATTTCAATTTTTACATTGTCATATGAAGCAGCAAATAGTAGGATGACTGATGAATTGGAAAGGATTTGGAAGGAAACAGCCATAGCTTAATCAAAGTATTATTCTGGCATTTGCCTGGAGGGACTCAGAAGCACTACGAAATACCTCAGTCAAGATAGCCAGTGTTCTCGTTGAGATGTGAATAAAGCTGCTCCTGAACACAAGTCTACAGAGTGTTACTACTACACCAACCTACCTGGTTTCTTCATCTTTATCTTAATATATAACAAGAGATCAATTTCATTAAGTAGTGCTCTTGTTACAACTGACAGAAGTGTACTGTAGGATGCAAACCTTACGCACATCAGAATTCCTAATTTTTTTGTTACAAATGGTGGTTATCTTGCCCAGTTTTACCCTAAAATAAATAACTTATATTTATTTCATACAAAGAACTCTGCTGGATGGTCTGCCCTTACATAGCTCTGTGCATTTCAGCTATATAAATATACCACATATTAACGTCAGAACAGAGGCTAAAACAGAATGTTCATGAACACTTTGATGTCAATCATAACTTGCAATTAATTAAAAAGAAAATAAATAAATCTAAAAAATGAAATGAGTAATTACTATGTCCATTTCCTCATAAGTCCATATCATTATTTACATACAATTAAATTCAGGTCTGAAATAGTTTCCAATTTATTCCAATTTGATTAATTATGCAAGAATTGTGTACTTACGAGTATAATTGTTGTTACTGATATTAATAACAGAAAATAATACTTTCCTTCTTCATATTCATAAATATGTTGCAATGAAATCCACAAAAGTATTCCTGTACAAGTGGTATATTTATTTTATACAGTGTGCGATAATATTAGTTAAATGCTGGACCAAACAGCTAGCTTGGTACTTGCAGTTGCAGCTTGTTACTGGGAGAGTATGAGGAAGTTGTATCTACAACCTTCATATCCGGCAGTACCTCTTCCCACGCTGCTAGGCACTGTAACAACATACTGAACATGTAGCCAAGGTTTGGAAAGTTATAATAACCTCTACTTTGTAACTCAAAAGCATTTGAAAAAACTAATACATAATCATCATTGCCTGTTATGATTAAACTTTTGAACAATGATGAAAAGAAGGATTTTTATACTCTCCAACACATATATAATGTGAAAACTGAAACTGCATTATTTTTAAAGTACCATAATCTGCTTATTTCAGCATACACATTTAAAACATTTTCACTTTCCTCCATGTGGCCAGTCTAGGGGTGACATATGGGAAACAGTGGCAAAGGCACCAGTGTATTCACATCAGTAAAAACAACAAATAATTAAGCAAACAAAATGAGAAAATCGAAACAAAGTCCATTAATACAAATGAGCAACCATATTTTTCAAGCCCTAAATATAATATAATGAATCTATGTATGAGACACAAATACTGTAGCTCTCCAGTGATACCAGCTTCATTTACAATGAAATTTACATTTCTTCTGTTTCAGGAGAAGGGGCAAACACAGTGGAATTTAGTGGATTATGTAATTAGAACATACACTTTCTTAAATAAAAATCAAGTATTATTTACAAATCTGAATTAGTATAGTAGAAAAGTTCACTTTTTTAAGTATTTCTTACCAGAAAATCATAAAAACTGTACCATGTTTCATAAAGATACAAATGACACATATAAAAAAGGAGAAAATTTTAATGTATGCTCATCTAAAGAACAAAATTTACAAATTTTATATGCAATTGTTCCTTTTGGCTACTTTAATTTGCATGTACGTGAATGTGTATTCACAGGACATGTTCAATATTTTCAGACTACTTATACTGTACTGCTTCTAAACTACTATAAACTGAATTTCTGTGTTAATGATATCAACACAGAAGTCCATTACTTGAAGAAATCGCGGCGGCCCGGGTTCGATCCCGGGTCTGGTCAAGTGGGATTTGTGGTGGACAAAGTGGCACTGGGGCAGGTTTTCTCCGAGTATTTCAGTTTCCCTTGCCAATCTTCATTCCAACAATTGCTCCAAAATCACCCTTACCTATCATCTGGGGCTGGTACAATAGGTCAGAAGTGGCTGCATTACAAGGGACTTAGTCCCACTAGCAATAAAATAAAATACTTGAAGAAAGTCAGTCTGGATGAATTTCTTTGTAACACACAGAATGCAGTTTACTTCATGTGATACATTTTGAAGTGTAATTAATATGATGGTGTTGTAATATTTCATTATACCTGTTCATAATATTTAATTTGTTGATTAGCTAGTGACACAAACAATTTCTTTAGTTCATCCTTCTTCTCATACTGCCAGCGATCCAAATCAGCCCTCAGATTCTCATTAGCACATTCCACCTTATCCTGATGTTCCTATTAAAAAAAAGAAGTATCAGCACACGAATGTTTCAGACAGACAGAATTCTAAGCCTTCTCTTTATAGCTGTATTCTAACCAACCTTACTTGAACCCACAGTGATAATGACAGAACTTCAACACAATATTATCTGTGTTATATCGCAACCAAGGAGACTACGGAGACAAGATGTCATACTATAGAAATGCAATGAATTATCATGAGTTCCATACATGAAATTGCAAGAATGGTTTACATATGAATGAGCTATCAACTTAGCCCTCTGGAGTATGGCTTTAATCTAAAGAACACTTAAGAGCTCAGGTTTATCTCAAAGAAAATATATTACTCCTCAACTACAAAGACCAATTGACTATTGCTGTTAGGGAAATAATCACTGCTTATTCTCAAAATTAATAATACGAATACTTTGAAATTACTTGGACTGACAATTGATAGTATGTTAACATAGAAGGAACATATTAAACAAACAGCCAGGAAATTGAGCTCGGCTTGTTATGCTATAAGAGTACTAGTCTCAATATTGTCCCTAGAGAGCTTACTGATGATGTACGTCATAATACATATGTTCATTCTATAATGTCATGTGGCATAATATTCTGGGGGAATTCAACGTATAGTACTCAAATCTTTAAAATTAAAAAAAGAATAATTAGGGTAATAATGAAAGCAGGAAATAGGGACACTTGTCAGCCTCTGTTTAAAATATTAAACATTCTTCCATTTTATTCACAGTATATATTTTCAATATCGGTCTTCATAGTTGAAAACATGGACAAGTACGTAGCAAATTCAGATATTCATAACATTTATACTAGACAAATATTCGAATTACATTATCCAACTTATAAATCAACCTGGGCTCAAAAGGGAGTATCTTACACTGGGATTAGAATATTTAATAAATTACCACTTAGTATAAAAAATTTATCACAAGATTTAGATAAATTCAAATATTCCCTTAAAAATTTTTTGCAGGTGGGCTCTTTTTATTCTTTAGATGAGTATTATAAATGGAAAACAAGGATGACTGTGTCAATTACAGATAAATAAAACAACACTAGTCATTTTTAAAAAACTTTTACTGTATAATATCTATAATTCTCTAGATGTGCTTTTTCTCTATTATAGACAATATTAATATGTATTTTATTACGATAATAAGTTGCAATGCAAGTGTTATATGCATGTTGTTTTTAATTATAACATTGTCCTTTTGGGTTTGAATTGTAAGAAAAAAAAAGGGATAAAGGGGGAATATTGATGTGATTTGTATTTCAGTGTGGCACCATGCTGCATAGTGTTGATGATGAGAGTAAATTTCCTTGTATCAATAGTTATTGCAACAATGGTTGTATATAAGTTGTAATATATTTATGATGTCCTCTGGATTGATTTTATAGTAACTTGGGCTTTGACATGTTCTACATCTGGAGGCGCCATCGCCAAATGTAGATCTGATGAACAAAAATAAATTGAAATGAATTGAATTTAAAAGCTCTAAATTTGCTCTGTGGACAAACTGCAGAATTTCTAATGTTAAAGCAGATGGTATATATGGTAACCATTGCACTTCAAAGAGTTAATAACAAAACCTCTAAAGTGAATGATTTCATGGTGGTTGCCATATTTACCTGGAATATTTACACATTCTCTTATCAATAGATTGTGTCAAAAAGTGAATATTACTTTCTACAGTATAATTCTACATGCTAGACTGAGGTATGGTGATGCAGTACGGATATCTGTGCCAATGGAGTCCACCACAGTCCCTTAACGAACGTCAAGATGAATATTTCCTTTGATGAAATTTTGCCCGCTGTTTATTTTAATGAAAAGTACAATTAAAGTTGAATTTGTGTTCCACTGCAGCATGGATATTCACTCCCAGACTGTCGAAGAAATTCTTTGATCAACACTGAGACAAATACCCCCCCCCATATAAAACTCTGTTCAATGCAAAACTTTCATGAAATATGCAATTAACGATTAGGGGACGGGCCATTTAAATTCCGTTAGTGGCAGCGGGATGGAGTTAATTTAAATGCCCGCCATTGTAGAGTAATAAAAATTGTAATCACGTTACTCAAAATGCTGTGATTTCTACAATTTTTGTGATAAACGAACGAAATAAACGCTACTTTTATCTAGAAAGTATATAGAATCAGATACTGTAATTTACAGATTTTAGAATCTGTAAAAATTGTTACACTGATTCCAAAAAAAAATTTTTCCCCAATTTTGAGCGTCTGTCCACAAAAATGTATAAAGCTTCTGCACAATACGTTTCTGTAGTATAAATGCATGGTGCTGACGCACTGTCTGTTTTTTATCTGGCAATAGGAGAAGATGTTTTCGTACTGCACATTCTGCCATCACGTAGACTTCCTCTATACCCGAGTGAGGGCGAGTTCTTATCCTACATTGCCTTATGAATCTCTGTTTGTTTATTCACGTATGTCAGACTATCCACACAGAGGCCGTTCTTGGAATATCACCTCATTCCACTTGCTTCCACGTCCCTTCAGAATAAACTGTAACACATTCTGAATGGTGTGATTTATGAGTGGCCTCTCAATTTCAACTTCTTCAATGCGAAAAGGGGCCATGGTGCATAATTGAAATTGCAATGTTTTATAAGCGTTATGAATAGAGGACACCACTCGCCATCACTGGCTTACTTCCTGCTAATACGAGACTAAAATTGTGTGTGCGCACTTTGCGTGGAAAACAGAGTTAATTATGGAGAAAGTGCATGAATTGAGACGTTGGGCTCTGCATTCAGTGACATGGAACATTCAGTTAGATGATGCAGGAGGGAAGACAGTCTACTTATAAAGCTGGTGTCCAAAAATAATGTAAGTACAACAAGAATTTCTATCTTAAAATTAGATTTTGAAACACTGTGCGCATGCGCGGCCTGCGAGTCACCATATGGTGTCTTTCGGCCATCTCGGCATAATTTAAGGGTCCCCATATGGTGTCTTTCGGCTCATAAAGGTTAAAGTTGAATATGATGGAGCAACATGGTATAGATATTCCAGCATATGGACTCCACCTTATGATTTGTTGATTAACACTGTGACAAAAAATGTCCCTTGATAAACTGGGGACAAACATAATTTTTGCAGAAAATATAAGTAAAGTTGAATGAGATTTGCACCTAGATAAAATCTGTACCAGTACTAGATACATATTGTGACATGCAGACCCGTTGTTAGGCAATGACCACAAAAGAAGCAGCTATGAAACAGTCGCTGATAAGTAACAGCTTCACAAACAAGTATGCTTTCACGGAAACAATTGCACAGCTATAATGAAACAGTGTTTTATGTCCAGTCTGTGCCAAGGTGTTATAAGCAGGACAGTTAGTGAGAGTCAGTTGAGTTGAGCTGAGTTGAGGTGGTTGGTTGGATGGTTGGTGAGTGACTGAGTTAGAGAAATGCCGAGGTTCAGTCGTAGTGAGCTGCTGCTGTAAGAAGCAGGTAACTGAGGCTGGGGACAGTTTGGACACAGAGGAAGGGGAATGTCCACTTTTGGAAGCCACTACCAAGCAACAGGTAGTGAAGACATGACTGTGGACATGTGTGTCCACATACATGCCCCCCTTCCCCGGGAAGATTCCTGGTACTCATTTCTGTTAGAGGCTGAGTCGACCTCAGGGCCATAGTGCGGCTGGAAGGATTAGATAAATTGAAAAAATCCACCTCACCGGAACTTAAATCTGTGACCTTCTGGCTTGTCGCATAGTGCCTCAACCAACCATGCTACCACGTGTCCCCACAAAAGTGTGTATATTTTAAAATATGTACAGTCCAGGAGTGTAAAATTGAAGTTTTACTGTATTGAAAGAGGCCTAGAGAAGCACTGCTCTCAGTCAGAATACAGGTCCCAAAGAAATGAGTTCATTCAGTTATTTCACAGGCTAGTGAATGATGTATCAATTACAAAAGTTGACAGAAATGTTAAAATGATTATGCCCTGTGAAAGAGGAACGGCTGGGGATGAAAGAAGCCATGGTGTTAAGGTACTAATAAGGTATTCACTGGGAGGCAACGAAGAAAACGACAGATGTCACGTCAGACATGTAAGAGATTATGATCTATGTTTTAAAGTATGTGGAACTGACCTCCACCTGTTTCACAAGATGCGGGATGGCTTGTGCTAACTTCTGTAGCTTATCATCTCTCACTTCTCCAGCACTCTTCCACAGAGAGGCTCCTCCAAGACTGAAGCCTCCACTACCAGATGTTTGCTCTTCTGCCAGTAACTGTATATAACACAAGCTATGACACAATTCCTGAACATTATACATTTAATATTCATATTCTTCACCTTTCTACTGCCCCTTCTGAAGATATTTCTAGAGAATGAAGACTGGCTTCTTCAGGTTTTTGTAATATCAAACAAATTTTGTTCACACTGGTTATTTTGAAAGGTTCTGTATTCCTAACAAAAACGTTACTGTCCATGTGACAGTAAGCTACTTATCATCACAAAGGGATATGACACATAAAACTGCACAAATTAGTTTGACATATTTCTTGGCACAATTACCAAACACCTTTTCAAATGTCTACAAAGAATATTACACGACCACATTCTTTATATGATTAAAATCAGTTAAAAGCCATACATTTTGGATAAACTGGCAACTTTATTCAAATTTTCATCTACAGAATTTTAATCTGATCTAGTCATAAAGTAATTTGACTAGGTTACAAGACAAATTCCATAACCTGAGCTATACATATTTTACCATAAATACGAGTACATTTTAATAACTTTAACTGTTGTTGCTGTAGTGCCCATTTTTTGATACATTTTCAACCCTTCCCTGATTGTTACTGAGCAACACAAAACAGTTTTATAAATAAAATGTGTGTATAAACCTTTGTTGTAAGCTGAAAACATGAACTGTGAGGAATGTACACATGAAAAGAAAACTGAAGAGCCACTTTATAAACCACAAATTTACAGACTAGAATACCGCCCACTTCACATCTGGAATGATATAAATTATCATCAAGTGACTCAATGATCAAGATTTTGTTTCTCTTTTCTTTTGATTGGCTTTTTAAACACATACAAGAATAATTATTTGAAATAATTTCCTCTTAATTTTTACTAATTTAAAGTAACATGTAAAGCTAAAGCATATATGGAATCCCGCTCTCTTCTTCTGTGAGAGATATATATGTATAAATCTGAAATGTCAAACTTGAGTGCAGCAAAGCTCTGTCACACACCCTTTCATATTTTACAAAATATCACTTTGCATGGCCATCAAACTACAATAAAAGCATTAATCTGTGGAAAATTACAGGATTATTCTTTGTAACTTCCAGCAATATAATTTCAAAGGAAAAGAATGAATATTATTTTGAACATGAATAAAAAAATAAATCTAACTCTGTTACAACAGTTACATTTAAATACTTCATATGTAAATGTTGCATCTGTGGTAAACAAAATGGCACTGTGTCAGATTTTCTCTGCGTGCTTCAGTTTCCCCTGCTAATTTTCATTCCACCAACTGCTCTATATTCATTAATCACACTATACAGTCTCAATACTGACAATTTTATCAAATACCAAATTTAAATATTACATTTACTTATTACTTTTCAGCGGCCTCCGTAGTCTAGGGGTAACGTTCCCACCTCATGACTCAGGGTACGCGGGTTCAAACCTGGCGGAGGTCGTGGAATTTTTAAGGGCGGAAAAATTCAGGGAACAAGTCCTCCTGGAGGGACTTTAAGCCATGGGTCCCATGTCATAGAGATATGGCATGTAAAAGAACCTCATGTCTCTAGGAGACCTCTGAGCTAAAATTGGCCAAAAAGTTTCCTGCCCAAAGTAGTTTCCAATGCCTCCGGTAGATGGGGGAAGTATTAGGTACCACTGCCAGAAGAGGGGGGACCTCTCTGACAGAAAGGGACTAACTATTAGATACCACTGCCAGTAGAAGGTTGGAACCTCGCTGGCAGAAAGGGGCTGATAGTAAGCACCAGTACCGGTAGCGTATGGAGACAGTAGAAATTAAAAGGGGACGCACAATGGACCAATAACTGGTCTAAGTGCATGGGGAAGCCCACCCCCTCAATACTGAATACTTTAATCTTTCTTTATTAACACATCTGCTCAGATTGCAGCGTAATATGACAGTGCTAGTAGTGAATAATGAACTGGGAAGAATGCAGAAGGAAGTGGCTGTCACCTACTTTAAGACCCTATCCTGACATCTGCAGGGAGGTACCGAGAAAAAACCATAAAAAATCTGACAGGGTAGCTGGTCTGCTGAGATTTGGGATCTGCCAAGTAAGATGCACAAGTCTAATTACTTGAACGAAATATTTTGTAATTGCATTTTGAAAACTGTGCTTTATCAAAACAGCCTTTCCTCAGTCTCTTAAAAAAGTAAGCTTCCTTGGACAACTTGCTGCACTGAAAGAGTAAAAAAATCTTGATAGTCTGGAGACAGACACAATTTAAAAAATGTAGAGCCATGACTTGACTGATCACAAGAGAAGTCTCACTGCCTTCTTGCCTTCATTTGTCATGGTCACAAAGTCAAACATGAAACTGACCTCAAAACATACATGACTTTGAAAACCCTGGTACAGACACTATGTATTGCAGCTGCTGAAATCATATATGAAGGAAAATATCATCACCCCACTGATAAGACCACAAAGGCAATTTCAGTTTCTTCATTAAAAGCTATGTAGGTAAGCAACCTCCCCACTTAAAACATATGAATAATCCTATAAGTTACAAATATAAGGGAGCTGGAATTGCAAATAAAATCAATGCAAAATAAAAATGATGAATAATGGCAAAAAAATAGATAAACTATCTAAACAGAATGACTGATGAAAGAACAGTGGAACTGATTTTACAGCATAAACCAAAAGGATGAAGAATCAAGGAAGACCTTGGAAACGATTAAAGGAGCATGTGAAGTCAGAATGGGCTTGATTACTTATACCATGAAGTAAAAAACAAGGAAAGTTATTCTACAGAAACTTACCAGATCTTTCTCTGCTCTCTTTTTCTTCAGCTCTTCTACAGTAAGTTCATATTCAATTTGAACTGAATCACGGCGAGTGAGAGCTTCCTTCACTGCTTCAATATAAAGCAGATATTCCTTCAGAGGCTTAAAAAGTGTAAAACAAAACAAACATAAGAGAATGTTTGGTTCAAGTGAACTATTATATTAGAGCAATGAGGTCAGAAAACTCTGTGCAATCACATTTATTTTTTATTAATTATTCCAATTTTAGGCTAATTAATTTTCCTCTTGGGTGTTCCACTTGTGTCATTATAACACACAAAGAAATTATGCCCATATTGTACGTAGGTCGTACCGAAAGTCATGAGCAACTTTTTTTTTGCATGCAACCTGGGAACAGCAAACGAAAGAAAGTATGGTGTTAGGTGGAACCAGCTGTTGTGTTAACCTTGACTGTCTTGTGACGCCAATAGCTTGCATCACGTAACCAGTATCACTCCTAAAAAAATGGCCGACAATGATACGTCGTTTCGCCAGCGTGCTGTCATCGAATTTCTCGTGAAACAGGAAATCCCTGCTGCAGTAATTCACCAGAGACTTCAGTGTGCTTATGGAAGTGTGTGCATGGGTGTGAGCAGTGTTCGAAGATGGGTCAAACATCTTAAAGATGGGAACGCCAGCATCGAAGATGAGCCTCGGAGCGGTCGTTCTCTAACAGCCTCAACTGAATGCAACATGGAAAGAGTGGATGAGATCATTCAAGATGACAGGCATGTGACTGTGGACACAATAGCCCGAAAACTTGGAATAGGGCACAGTGCAGTACAGGAGATGATTGAAAGCTTGGGCTATAGGAAAGTATGTGCTCGGTGAGTCCCGCGGTTATTGACCGAAGACCACAAAGGTCAGCGAAAAGCCATCGCCTCAGAACTGCTGCAGAGATATTGACACGAAGGCGATGATTTTTTGCTCTGTATTGTGACAGGTGATGAAAGCTGGTTTCACCATTTCAAGCCTGAAACGAAATGGAAGAGTATGGAATGGCACCATGTGCATTCTCCATCAAAAAAGAAGGCAAAGACAGTGCCATCAGCTGCGAAGGTGATGGGCACAGTCTTCTGGAATGCAGAGGGGTTTATTCTGGCCAAATTCCTGGAACCTGGGAAAAACCATCAATGCTGCTTGTTATGTCCAGACACTGTACAAGCTCTGTCGTGCATTGCACGATAAACGTCCAGGACAAAACATCATCATCCTGCATGACAATGCTCGCCTTCACGCCACTCGCCTCACATTGGAAGAAATTGCAAAGATGGGGTGGGAAGTTCTTCCACACCCCTCCTATAGCCCTGATCTGGCACCCTCCGACTATCATCTTTTTGGATTTGTGAAGGATCAGCTGCGTGGACAACTTTTTGAGACAAGGGCGACAATTCAGAAAGCAGTGTGTCAGTGTCTTTGGATGGCTGGACCGGAATTTTACAGAAGGAGGATTTTCAAACTCAAGCTCATTGCCATATAATATGCATATATTAGTTTCTCTAACTCAAAAACAATGAAGACATCTCTAATAAATTTAACACAGAGGCTGTTAAACAATATTTGAACTGTACCACATTTGTAAAGGATTTATTATCTATCTCTCTGTTATACAAGAATTTAGTCACTGCCTGGCAATTTATACCTTTCAAGAGAGACAAGCATAGATAGCAAGTAAAGCAATAAATCATGTATTCTGGTTGGGGGTAGATCAGAGGACATGATGGCTGGCCATGAGTGATGACCTAGGTTTAGTTCACTGTTTCATGTAATGGGTTAAGATCATCATCTGACGTGGATTCACGGCATGTATGGGTCATTCCATGTGAAATCTTCCAGAAAGGTCGCTCACCATTTTTAAAAAAAATTCAAAATTTGTACACTTATTTATACATATTTTCACATCTAAAAAAAAATGTTAAAAAAAATTGTGATCCGCTCGGTTCTCCTGGTACAGCCGTTTTTATAATGCGAAAAAACGCGTTTTCGGCTCAAATGGAGGTTTGCATTATCTTCTGTATCTCAATAAGTACTGAAGTTAGAGACTCAAATGAAAAACCAATTTGTTCCTCATGATATGGACAACAAATCGTATCATTACAAGGTTTTACTCAACTCACTTCCTCTAGGTGTAATTAAGCTTGAAACTTACCTATCGATTTAGGGAAAAACGCTATTTTTGACCTTCAGAAACCAATGGGAGGGGGAAAGTATCAGATCTGTGGTTTCTACCCTTTGTTTTCTCCTACATGAAGAATATAATCACTTAGTTTTGAACACCGTACCTATTTTCCAAAATTTTCCAGGAGTTTCCAAACTTTGCTCTGGGCCCCCAAATTGGCCATTTTTAACATCTCATGTCTTCGGTGGAGAAGCTCCGAAAATTTTTAAATTCATAGCAAATAGTGCACTATTCTAGAGAAACTTGAAGTTAAAATTACAACTTTTATATTCAACTACTAGCAAAGTTGTGTCCACTTTGAATTTTACCAACCCCCCCCCCAAAAAAAACCCAATACCTCAACAATTGGCTTACCTGCATCCAATGGTATTAGTTCTTTGTGTACTCTGATGAATATTTTCCAGTTTGTTTGAAAGTACACGTAGTTCAGTAAGTGTCCATTATCAGGAATTCTTCGAAATCATCGGACTTGGATGTTTTATAACACCTGACCGTGTTTTCCTCCAGATGGACGACCCAGTGTTTTTCTCTTGTGTGGAGCAGTTTTGCACTTTTGGAACATGCTTTCTACAATGATTTCATTTCTTGTAACTTCCTCTTTTGGCACAAAAAATAAACTATTCCTGGGATATTTTCTGTGCAGAATATTTACAGTTCTAGCGGGCACATGATTTGATTAAAATGAGTTCTTTGAAGACTGGCTTTCGCTGCTTGCCTCTTCGTGGTGCTGCCAATGTCATCACAGGCATTCTTCCCATGCAAGGTGGCAAAGAATTTCCATTCTGCTTCAAGTCCGAAGTCTTCATAGTGATGACATAAATTGGAAAGATTCTTTTTGTTTTTATATTGGCTTCCAGCGCCATCACTGAAATAAATAACTTTCCTGACTGAAGGCACATTTTCNAAGAAATTTTTGGAACACATAAACTGTGGCTCTATCGTGCTTTACATGATCACTGATTATACACAAGCCTGGGCATTTTCTTATAGTGTCCGCCTTGTAGTAATACACAAAAGGGTGAAGTGTAGACTGTTGATTTACCCAATGGAAACTTTGAATATCGTCTTGAACGAGAAACGAACAATTTTCTGTAAAATCTGTAAAAGTTAAAGTGCCCACAACTTCGCTATTACTTGAATATCAAAGTTGTAATTTTAACCCCAAGTTACTCTAGAATAGAGCATTATTTGCTAAGAATTTCAAATTTTTCGAAGCTTCTCCATCGGAGATATGAGATGTTAAAAATGGCCGATTTGGGGCCCAGAGCAAAGTTTGAAAACTCCTGGAAAATTCTGAAAACAAGGTACAGGGTTCAATCTATGTCATTATATTCCCCATGTAGGAAACAACAAAGGGTGGAAACCACAAATATGATACTTTCCCCCTCCCATTGGTTTTTGAAGGTCAAAAAGAGTGTTTCTCCCAAAATTGATAGGTAAGATTCAAACTTAATTAGACCAAGAGGAAGTGAGTTGAGTGAAACCTTGTAATAATATGATTTATAGTCCATATCATGAGGAACAAATTGGTTTCTTACTGGAGTCTCTAACTTCAATAGTTATCGAGATATGGAAGATAACGCAACCTCCATTTGAGCCGAAAACACGTTTTTCGCATTATAGAAACTTCACTATTAGTTGAATATCAAAGTTATAATTTTAACTTCAAGCTGCTCTAGAATAATGTACTATTTTCTATGAATTTCAAAAATTTCGGAGCTTCTCCACGGGAGATATGAGATGTTAAAAATGGCCGATTTTGGGCCCAGAGCAAAGTTTGGAAGCTCCTGGAAAATTTTAGAAAATAGGTATGGTGTTCAAAACTATGTGATTATATTCTTCATGTAGGAGAAAATAAAGGGTAGAAACCACAGATCTGATACTTTCCCCCTCCCACTGTTTTTGAAGGTGAAAAATAGCCTTTTTCCCAAAATTGATAGGTAAGATTCGAGCTTAATTAGACATAGAGAAAGTGAGTTGAGTGAAACCTTGTAATAATATGATTTATAGTCCATATCATGAGGAACAAATTCCATTTCAGCCGAAAACGCGTTTTTTCGCATTATAGGAACTTCGCTATTAGTTGAATATCAAAGTTGTAATTTTAGCTCCACATTACTCTGGAATAGAGCATTATTTGCTATGAGTTTAAAATTTTTCGGAGCTTCCCCACCGGAGATATGAGACGTTAAAAATGGCCGACTTTGGGCCCAGAGCAAAGTTTGGAAGCTCCTGGAAAATTTTGGAAAATAGGTACAATGTTCAAAACTACGTGATTATATTCTTCATGTAGGAGAAAACAAAGGGTAGAAACCACAGATCTGATACTTTCCCCCTCCCATTGGTTTCTGAAGGTCAAAAATAGCGTTTTCCCCAAAATCGATAGGTAAGTTTCAAGCTTAATTACACCTAGAGGAAGTGAGTTGAGTAAAACCTTGTAATGATATGATTTGTTGTCCATATCATGGGGAACAAATTCGTTTTTCATTGGAGTCTCTGGCTTCAATAGTTATCGAGATACAGAAGATAACGCTAACCTCCATTTGAGCCGAAAACGCGTTTTTTCGCATTATAAAAACGGCTGTACCGGGAGAACCGAGCGGATCACAATTTTTTTAACATTTTTTTTAGATGTGAAAATATGTACAAATAAGTGTACAAATTTTGAATTTTTTTTTAAAAATGGTGAGCGACCTTTCTGGATGATTTCACATGGAATGACCTGTATGCTAAATGCCACTCTCACTCCACAAGCCCTGCAGGCAACCTGCCACATATATGACACATACATGAATGTGTAGGGGGAAGCAGTGACTGATAAAGACAAATTCAATTTGATTAATTTTCTGTTATCTCTGTATGTACATTCATGCTACTCTGTGTGCATGCATATACACTATAAGCAAAGCCAATACAGTAAAACCTGCTTAAAATGGAACACAAACTATATGGAAATCAGTTTTAATGGAAAGTTTATGTTCCTGAGAATATGGAGTAAAATTACCTCCAATAAACACAAACTATTTATAATATAAATGCAAATAAAAACCAGATGTTTTAGAGGATATATTTTGGTTGAGTACTTACTGTCTTCAGATATTATTTTATTCCAAAATGTGCTTTCTGAAATTAATCTTGTCACAAATGGAAAAGAATTGTGGTGCCTAACAAAAGAGGCATAGAACATATAAATTTAGGGAGATAATGTGAAACAAACAAATAAGAACTGAAAAATTGTAATGTTCAGTAACATTACATGGTTAAATGTAACACAAATGTAATAAACAAATAAAGGGGATCGAAAAGTCGCGCACATCATATTAAAAGTTGTTATAAATTGTATTGCAGTTAATATAATTATATCTCCTACTGGCAGATGGTGGGCACGTGGTAGCATAGTTGGTTGAGGCGTTATGTTACAAGCCAGAAGGTCACGGGTTCAAGTCCCGATGAGGTCACTGAATTTTTTCAATTGACCTGATCATTCCAGCCGCACTATGGCCCTGGGGTAGACTCAGCCTCTAACAGAAATGAGTACCAGGAATTAATTAAATAATTATCCTGGGGAGTAAAGTGCAGCCTGTGCATAAGGCTGACAACCTTACCGCCATCTTTGAGCCGATTGTCTAGATAATGTGGGCCCCTCAATGTCTCACAACCCTATGGGCCTTCAGGGCCTGTTACAGGGATAGCTTTACTTTATTGCTAGATGGTACTGTAGGAGTACTAACAATGAGTAGAAACACCATCTGTTGTGTACCGGTCATACAACATCTGCAGTACAGCTTTGTTTATTGCGTGACAGACATGTCGTTTTTCCAAGAACGAGTTTTCATTGTGGAACATTAATTTGCCAGTCGTTCTTATGCACATGCTGCAGACGAGTTTCATTGGGAATATCTGGATTCTGCAGTTCATAACAATTAGACGATAAAGAGAATAATCAACCAATTTCAGGAATGTGGATCAGTTTCAGATAGGAAGAGATCCGGGACACCAGTCATTTTGACTGAGGCTAAACTGGCTAACATGGAGAAAATGCTGCAGTGTTCCGCTTCAAAAAGCCTGAGGAGACTATCAGTGCAATCAGGGATTTTGTACGGAAGTGCTCAGAAAGCAATGAAGTTACACCTTCATGCATATTGTGTTCGCTGTGTGCAGGAACAGACGGACTTGGATAAAGAAAAATGCTTAGTGTACTGCAGATGGTTTCGGATATATGTTGGCAACCATGGAATTGAAGAGTTTGATCAGGTTTTCTTCACTGACGAAGCGTGGTTTCACCTTAGTGGCTACGTGAACAGTCAAAACAATAGTATTTGGTCATCTGAAAGTCCACATGTGTTACATGAAAAGCCCCTGCACTGTCAGAAAATTGGAGTGTGGTGTGCTGTATCACGTCGTCAAATAGTGGGCACAATTTTCTTTGAAACAACAGTGAACAGTCCAGTGTACCAAGACATCATTAAACAGTTTATTGCGCTTCTTGAAGTTGATGAACATAAGTGATGGTTGCAGCAAGATGGTGCCACATGTCACACATCTAGTGAAACCATGCAGTTCTTGCATGAGTTTTTCGGTGACTGTCTCATTTTGAAAGGATTGTGGCCCCCACATTCGCCCGGTTTGTCACCTGCAGATTTTTTCCTCTGGGGGTACCTCAAGGGAATTGTCTATAAAAACAATCCGCATATACTGGATGACCTCAAGAGGAACATTACGATGGCGATTAACAGCATCAGTTTACAGGTGCTCCACAAAGTGGCCTCAAACATGGTGAAAAGAGCTCGCGCATGCATTGCTGAACAGGGAAGCCATTTCGAGCATATGGTGTAAAGACATGATTTGATTTTGCATTTCTAAGATGTAAGGTTATAAACATTAATAGTAAGTGCTGTATGTCTTATAGTTTGTGCATTAAACCAGCAAAATATAATTGCTTAGTCTGATGTGCGCGACTTCTTGATCTCCCTGTACAAAGGATATACTTTATGTATACTTTATAAAATTTTTAAATAGAGTTAAGTACCTGTGCTAATTGAACAGCTCTCTGAAACAGAAACATATTCAAGTCAATGGGAATATCATTATACATTTATTTTACCTTATAAGTTTACACATGCACGCACGCACACTGTCGTTGCCAAAAAATAGCATATTTACCTGAACTATATTAGGAGTGAATGTAACAAGAACATGTTGCTGGGCTTGTGTGTTATGTTCTATAGCAGCAGCCATGGCTAGCAACACTGGACTGAGTTCAGGTTCTGATGCAGACCACAGTGTGAAGATAGGGTGCATCTGATTCAGTTCGCTTAGGTAATCTGACAGCAAAAATGATTAAACATAAAAATTATATGAGGGTATAGTTCCAATATAATTCTGCTTTAATATTTTGTTCCATATAAAATTTTGATATGGATACAGTGGTTTGGAGATGTATTTGGATTCCTCTAAGAGCATAAACTAGGAGTTCTGAGTAGAAATCATAAAACCCACTTTCTTATTTCACTGCTTCTAGTCCCACAAGCCTTGTACTGTTAATGTCGTATTCAGAACTTTCTCTTCTCAATATTGTTCAGGGCGGCTCTGAGACCCACTCAGACTCCTGTACAATGGGTATCAGGGGCTCTATCCTTGGAGCCTGAAGTTGACCATTCGCCTCCAACTAGTACCAAGGTCAAGAATATGTGGATCTATTCATCCACTCCCCATACGTCTTCATGGCGTAGTGTTTAATTAGTTAAGCATAGGGACTTTATCTTTCATCATCATCATCATCATCATCACTGGCACGACAGCCCTTTGTGAGCCCTGGCCTTCCTCAGGATTGCTCGCCATTCTTCTCTATTAGATGCTACATGCCTCCAGTTCTTTACACCCAAAATTCTCATTTCCTGCCACACACATTCTTCCCATCTTAACCTTGGTCTTCCCACTCTCCTATTTCCTTCTGGTTTAGTATTAAGCATTTTCTTGATAGACTTTATCTTTACCTATTAGTATTCATCATTTCAGGTCCTCGTAACAAATGGTGCTAGCACTCCTCCCACCCAACAAGATCATGCATCCATCACATTCCTGTTACCCACTGGAGCAAAAAAAGTATGACGATGGGGTGGCCTTACTTGTACATATGCATCTGCATGCACCTAGCCACCCATGCAAGCACTCAGATATAAACACACTCACATAGCAACTTAATCTCATAAGCCCACTTTCTTTCCTTACGATATAAAAACAGGCTTAAAATAATGTTCTGTATAGCAAAACAGTAAATCAATTCTATACTAACCTTGTCTTTCTTTGTGGATACGTTGGCTAATCCTATCCACACTGTTTAGTTTCTCTCCAAGAGAGGTCACATATTCACGGACCTGCTCAAACTCTTGAGTGCGCTGCCGCATCATGTACACTGCCGCCAGGTTGTGGAAAGAGGTCGACATTCGGCCAAGGAAACCTTGACGACTCTTACGGTGAATTAAGAATTCCTACCATAAACATGAATGAATAATTTCAATAAGGGTGAAGGCCACAACTTCAGCATAACTAAGTCCTACTAAAATATTACAACAAAATCTTGTGAAACTCACTGGCATACTATTTAGATGCTTAAAAATACACGTAGGAAATGAGTTAAAAATGTCCAAATAAATTGCTGAAAACTATCATGATACTATCATCATACTGACTTACTATGCCTCTTGTCCAATAAGCAAACTACACTAGCTATTTATTCAGAACTGAACATTTCACACCTGGCAAAGAATACTAATGTCTTAATTCTGATTCATATTGGGGTAATGTAACACTGGTTGGTTTGCTGGCTTGTTGGTTTCTAATATTGCACTTTGACAAATAAGTCATTTGTGCCTTTAACCTCAACCTGTTGGTATATTTGTGACTCATCTCCTATATGGACACAATTTTGGTCCAGCCTACTTCAGTTGGGTTGGGCAATTTCAAGTTGTTTCCACTTTCATCCACCAGAGGTCTCAACAGTCGTGCAACTGCAGTGACATCCAGGAACAGAGTAGGAAGTGCAATGGGCGGCCAAGAATGGTGCCTGATTTTGCCTTCACTCATATTTTATGAGTGACAGGTCCTTTCACATACCTTAAATGTATGAAATGGAACACTGACTTTACTTCCCTTCCAAAGGAAGTTGTCCTATGAATTTTTATCACTGTTAAAAAGCCACAGACTTTGGCCAGGTATGAACCTGCAAAGTATGTTACCATTAGACCAGTGAGGCAGACTGGATAATGTAATATTATGTAATGTAACATTAAAATGGACTGAAGCAATGCTGGTATTACAAGAAAATTTTTAATTTTCCATAAAATTTGCATAACAACTTGTACAACAGTAGAAAATTATCACTTTCACAGCTTCTAGCAGCATATTGTTATTTGAATGTCAGGTATACAAATGTTCAAAGCAAAAACATAATTTAAGCAGTTCATCAACACCCATCCAATTCATGTCACATTTGAGGAAGCTTTCAAAATATCAGAATCTGATTTAAACATGAAAGCTTATAAGTACTAGGTGGTTCAAATATGACCAGGACTGATTTTTTTGTAAACAAGCCGCACTGCACAGCAGCTGTGCAACCTTGAGAGAGTGAAGCCACAACTTCCACCCTCCCTCCTGTTAGGGTTAGAACCTGTTTAGTCCTGTCTGGAAGTTGCTAGAGTGATGACCAAACAGAAGGTACCTCGGAGCATGGAAAAACGCATTGTGATCAAATTCCTCATTGGAGAAAATGTCCTGTCTGCTGAAATTCACCACAGACTCCAACAACAGTATGGGGAAGAGTGTCTCTCACAGACCCGTGTGTTTGAGTGGTGTAAGTGCTTCAGAGAGGGCAGAGAGCACGTGGAGAATGAACCGCATGATTGTTGGCCACGAACATCCGTCACCAAGCCAAACATTGATTGTGCAGATGCACTTATTCGTGAGAATAGGTGCATCACTATCATGGAACTTGGAGCAATGCTGTCCATCAGTGTTGGTAGTGTAGAAGACATCATGAAATACCACCTGCACTATTGCAAGGGGAATGCACGGTGGGTACCATGCACTTTGACGGACGTGAACAAAATGGTGTGCATGCAAGTTGCCAGTCTCTCCTACAGCAGTTTGAAGATGAAGGTGATGCATTTTTGAAGTCTATAGTGACCACCGATGAAACGTGGGTGCACTACTTCATTCCCCGAGTCCCAGCAATCATCACATGAGTGGCGGAATACTAGTTCTCCCAAACCCAAGAGAGTGCGGAGGAGCCGTTCGGCAGGAAAAGTGATGGCAACGTTCTTCTGAGACTGGCAGGGGGTTATCCATATAGACTTTCTGACAGATGCTAGAACAGTCAATGCTGCTTATTACTCAGACCTCCTGGCAACAGACGTGAAGGAAAAGATCCGATCCAAGCGGAAGAGAGGTGGAAAGCGGGTAGCCTTCCTTCAAGACAATGCACACCCCCATACGGCCAAAACAGGCCAAAACAAAAGTGGAAACCCTCCGGAAATTGAAATGGAACCTTCTGACACATCCGCCGTACAGTCCCGACTTGGCACCAAGTGATTTCTACCTATTCAGAAGGCTCAAATCAGACTTGCAAGGCATGTGGTTTGTGGACGACACCGTCAGCCAGAATGTTCGGGAGTGGATACGCCATCAACCACAAAACTTTTTTGAAAAGGTCATCAGGATGCTTCCAGAACGTTGGAAAAAATGTGTTGACTCCCGAGGGGAGTACGTTGAAGACTGACATGTGCAAGTAAGTGTTTGGCAATTTTGGTTAAAAATAAAATCAGTCCCAGTCATATTTGAACCACCTTGTAGATTCTAAAGGGTTCTGACAATGGTGTATAACACTCAGAAATACTGGGTTCTTGGACTTCTTCCATTGTCTGGTGTTTAGAAACTAGAAAACATGATTTTTGGAAACTGGAACTGTTTCTGTCCTTAGCCTGAGAACAGAAACAGATCCAGCTTCCAAAACATCATGTTTTCTAGTTCCTGGAATACCAGATGATGGAAAAGATCCAAAAACCTGGTATTTCTGAATGAAAGCTTATAGTTTGAAAACACTTTCAATTAATAATATTTTTCTGGTATATCATCCAAATCTAGATGCTATGTCAAACTACACAGTTTTCAATTTAAGATGCTCCAAATATGCTAGAAAGCTAGCCAGCCATCACTAGTTTGGTGCAAGCATAGATGTCAGGTGTTATTGTGATGACTCATGCACAAAATATTACAAACAAAGAAGGTTGTTGTCTTTTCCTCAGAGTGGACTGATGTTGAGAATATGGTGCAAGTACGCACAACATGTGTTCTTAGTTGAAATATATGCTACAAAATCATGATACAGGATATGCCATCATAAATTTTGCCTAAAATGTCCTGGTGTTAATGTTCCTAGAAAATCAATGATAAGAGATATTGATAAAATAAATTTTGTAGTATGAGTCAATATTGAACAAGAAGTAGAACAGAAAATGGAATTTATCCCAGATATGTTCTTTCTTAGTGATAAAGCATGACTGCATTTAAGAGGCTATGTCAACACTCAGAACAACTGCTACTTCAGTTCATAAAATTCACATCAGTCACATGACACATCCTCTTCATAATATTATGGTAGGAGTATGGTATGCAGTTACCTCTTGACCATTCTTTTTTACCAGTTAAAGGACCAGTCGCATGATATCATGCTTTTGGCTTTTAAATGTGGTGGACCGGTCGCATGATATCATGATTTTAGGACATATTAGGTTGCAACACACTATAACTTGCTATTTTGCTGCGCAGCTGCATAGATACTGAGCCATAAAATTCCGGAATGTTTGCTTAGAATTCAGTAACATGACTTAGCTGTTTTCTTAACCCCCTCTAACAGAAAATGCTTTGCCTCTCTTCAATTTGTTTGTACCAGCCAGTAGTTAGTGGTGGGGTATGAGTCAAGGACAAATTCTTCTCTGATGAGCCAGCTAATGTGCCTTGTGAGACACATAGTGATGGTGACTCAGACAGTGGCAGTGAGAGGGGAGAACAAAGAACTGTGGCCACAGACAGTAAAAGTGACAGTAGCTCTGACGAAAATGTGGGGACAGCAAGAAAAAAAAAAACACACACACACAAAACTCTAAATCCTGATTCAAAATTGAAATACAAAGCATTTCTGATGAATGTGGCAAAGGCCTGGGCTACAGACCACATGGTGGCAGCAGAACCAGAGTAAGACACAGATTTAGTGCGACCAGGCCCATCAACTCCCACCCCACACAGGCCTCATGTGGACCCCCCAGGTGACTCTCGGGTGATATGCAGAAACATACCCTCGTGAAAATTGTGAAAAGTGAACATCCCAAGGGGAAGCATCCTTCTAGGCAATGCCGTGTTTGCACAGTTCACCAAA